AATGAACAATTAACAATACTTCCGTCTCGCCGGGCAGAAACGGCTTTATTTCCCGACCAGGAGTTTCCGGACTTCCGTGCGAGGGGCACTCTTCCGGAGTTCCCCTCTTCCTGGATTCTCCCCCCTACGGTTCGCGCTCTCTCTTTTCTCTCCATACATCCCGGAATCCTCCTGAAATCGTCCCCCCCCCGCGGAATCCGCTCCACCCCTTTCGAACTCGTCGGCTTTTCGCCGGATACCGGCTATGCGGCGAGGGGTATCTTTCGATTATCGAGACCGCCCTTACCTCTCGGCGCCTTAGACGGACCCCATTGTCTTCTCGGCTCTTTCAATTAATGTTTTGATTGATTTTCCCCGCTCCCGTCGCGCCCCCTCCACTGCTCGCCATGGCCGAGTCATGCGTTCGACCTTCGAGATCGCGGAACGGCGGGTCAATTTTCGAACTCGGCGGGGCTCGAGCGAGCGACGGCTGGCGAGATCGCCGCCGGAGGCGCGCGCGTCGCCCGACTTGCGCAGGGGTTGAAAAGAAAGAGGGAGGAAGAGAGAGAGAGAGAGAGAGAGAGAGAGAGAGAGAGAGAGAGAGAGGACGCGGTCGGATTGGCGTTATACCGGTGGCTGTTTTATTGCGAGATTTGCGGCATGGCCTCTCCGTGTAACAAGACTTACCGAGATCTTAATAGAATCTGAGACCCAGCCAGCGGTGCCGCCGCCCTCGCCCCTTTCTTGGCCCCCTCCCCGCCGCCTTGCGACCCCCTCCCGGCCCCTCCCGACCCTCGGGCTGACCGTTGCATTTCCCACGTATGGGCTTTCCGGGGAGAGGGAATGCTTATTCTAAGCGTATAAGGGTGATTTACGAATATTGGCTGTCGTCGAAGTATCGGGAGTGCGTAGATTTTCTTGCGGGCATCTCGTCGACCTTTCTCGAGGGGACTCGTACCCTTCGGCGGTCATGGAAAAGGGGAGAGGGGCCCCGTCCCGGATGGTATCGTCAAAAAGGAACGAGCGGCGAGTCCGAATTCGTTCGATCGTCCGTTTACCCTCCCGATCGAGGCCGACGTCGCGTCGACGGTCGAGTTACCGGGCGCGAGTCATCACCCGAAGGGAGTTGAGCACCCCTGCGGTATCACGAAGCCGTCCGGTTTAATTTATGACCGGGGAGTACTTTCCAATTTTCAATGACCACCCTGCATCTCCGGACCCTCCGCCGATCCCTCACCCGCGCGGCGTCCGGGGGCAGAACCAATTTTACATTTTATTCCCGTATTTAGATTTACCATTTCAGATATTGTAAGAACAAAAATAAGTTTAAATTGAATTCCGTCATCCTTCAACCTCCTCCGCCTCCGCCCCGGCCCGGCCCGGCGCCACCGCTCTCCCCCTTTCTTACTCCCCGCGCGCCGGACATACGTCCCCCTCCCTTCGCCCCGGAGCTAATTTTTAACCGGCGCCCCGAGTTCGGCTCGCCTATCGTTAATTGGATCCCAGATGAAGGAGCCGCACTCCCGGAATAAGAGGGTCGCTCGGGGGCGGCGGGCAATATCACACCGGGAAAATAGAAACTCGAGGCTTCGCCGGGGGGCGGGGGCGGGGGCAAGCCGCGGGAGAGTGAATCACGCGAACCCGGCCTTCGGATCGCGCTCGAAAAAGCCGGCGCTTTTCGCTCCTGGGTAATTAAACCTCACCTATAATTGAACCCAACCCCGCGGCGCCCCTCCCGCGTTTCGACGATCCTCGGACGAGCGGCTTTTCTCCGTTTCGCGGAATTTTCCGCCCCGCCGGCTTTCCCGGCGAGCGGTCCGCTTTCCGGCATCCGAGGCCTCGATCTCGTCGGGAGCGGGGGCGCCGCGACGCCGGCCGACGCGCGTTCCTTTTGTGTCCGGGTGTCGTCCGCTGCGCGAGGGTGGCGACTTTGATCGCCGAGCACCCTGGTCCGGAGGCGACTCTAACCACGCGGAAGACGTATAAATTTCGCTCGCGTAACGAGCTCGGCGCGGGGGCGGGAGCGGGAGCGGGAGCGGAGAAGAAAGACGAGGAGAGGCACGCCGGCACCAAATTTTAATTTCACCCCTAACAAGGGGATGCGCTCCGAGAGAGGAGGACGCGCTCTCCTCGGCCCTTCGGGGCCACGGGGCTCTATCCTTCGGGATCGTTATATCGCCAATTAGAAGATGGCGAGCTCGCCGACGCCTAACAAGCTTCCTGGGGAGACGGACTCCGACGCTCCCGACGGCGCGCGTCTCCGCGAGGGATCGTGCCTCGCGCGCCTCAGCGGCGAGTCGCCCTCGCCCCTCTTCGCCCCCTCCGGACTCCTTTGCGTCCCTCCCTTCGTCGCTCCCTTCGTAGACCCGATTCGAAATCGCGAGTCGCTCGAAACGCTCGCGGGTCGGGAGAATCGGCGGCGCCTCCGTCCGGCGGGTCCGGCCCGTCCGGCCCGGTCTCAATTAGTCGAACTTACGTCGCCGGGGTCCAATTAGACCCGGGCTAGAAGCTACACCCTGTTTGCTCGAGTCGGCCGCTCCCCCCGGCGTCGGCGTCGGCGTCGGCGCCGCGCGCGGTTCGCCCCTCTCCCCGCCCGGGCCACTAGCCGTCGTCGGAGGTGTCTTTTTCCTCCGCTAATGACTAATTAGCAGCCTCTCCACTTCATGGTATAATGACACGGGCCGCGACCGGGAGGGTGAATCATTATCGAGCCACCGAAACCAGGCGGCGGGATCGCTCGGCCGGGTTTGCGCCAAAACCCCGTTCGGCGTCGCTTTCGAGACGCGCGGCGGATTTTCGGGAAGGATCGTTTCGCCGGTCCGGTCGGCGTCCGGATCGGCGTCCGGATCGGCGTCCGGATCGGCGTCGTAAATCGCGAGCCGCCTCCGAGGACCGCCGGTCGGCCGTCCTCCGTTCGCCAGATGGGCGAACCGTGAAAAAATTCCATAAAATTGCAAAGTGCACGGGCCATTTGAATGGAGTCGCGTCAGCTCCGGACGCGTTGACCTCTCGCTCCCTCCCCTCGGCCTTATTTCTCTCTCCCGCGACCCCTTCCGGCCCCCTCCGGCCCCCTCCGGCCGCCCGCCGCTCGTAATATCGTATCGGGGCCGTTCTCTTATACCGCGCGACGCGCCCGCCACCCTCCCTTCCTCCTTTCTTTTACATTTATTTATTTCCTAAATGTCCGTCCCCGCCGGCTATTTTATATTTGACATTTTTATTAAACCCCTCGCCCTTTGCGCGGCGCCGGGGGGCGAGCGTCCGAGGGACGGACCGACGGCCCCATATTGCCGTTAGGGCACTTTCATGATCTCAACGGGCGTCTCTTATTGAGCAAATAAAAAATTGTATCCGTCGCGGATTCGCCGATCAGATATTGCCGTCCTTTCCCTGCCGGCGTTATTTATCGTCCGGTCGAGGCTCCTCCGATCGCCCTTCGTCGGCGAGCGCCTTCTCGATCCTTCGGTCGTCGCGCTCGAAGCGGGCTCGAAGCGGGCTCGAAGCGGGGGCGACGCGGGACCGGAAAAATCGAGCACGGAGCCACTCGCGGAGCAAGTCCAAGGAAACGAGGTTTCCGCTCCCGAACCCTCCAGGGGAGCCGATGCCCCCCGGTCGGGCTCGTCCGAGGACCGGGAGGGAACTCCCGAGTAGTTTTTAATCCCCCCGTTTCGCGCCCCTCGTTCCTCGTGGCCCACCCCAATTAACGAGCGGTCCTATTCGAAAATCCCAGCCCGGGGGAAAGGAGGGCGGGCAATTATCTCCCCTCCCCTCGCTCTCGTCCGCTGCACGGGATTTTTCGCGAGCGTTATTAGCGCTATCCGCGCGGAGTCCCGCCCGGTACGCGTTACGTGGTCGCGTCGCGTCGCGACTACGAAAGGGGCGCGCGGGATGGCGGGGGGTGGAGGGGTGGCGGGTGGCGGGCAGAGGGGAGGAGGGCCAGGAGGGGCGTTTATAACTCGCGCGCTGGCTCTACCGGGTCTGAGAAGGCCAATTAGCAGCATAAAGCTGGCTCGGTCTTGGGGCCGGGGGATGTTTGTATGTAATAATGGATTGTTGCTCAAAGTATCCGGCTAATTAATTAAGCCCCCGCGCCTCCGAGGCCTGCATCGGCGCCCGGTCCTCTCTCCTGCCTTCCCGAGGGCCCGAGCGGCGAAAGGGGACGCCGCCTCTCCCCGATTCCGCTCCGATTCCGCCCCGATTCCGCCCCGATTCCGCCCCGATTCCGCCCAAGGCGACAGCGGCGATCGATCGCGCTCGGACGATTCGAGCGTCTTCCGAAGCGACGGGACTTTGACGGAACCCCCGACGTCGGACGTTGAGAAAATTTGGCGGGAACCAGACCACCACCCTCGTCGAATCGGGCGAATCGACGCGGTCCACCTCTCCGCCGACTTTCGTCGAGAAGTTCGTCGCCGAGTGGTCGGCCCTTGACGATGACCGGACGACGGTCCAATTAGGGGGGACTAATTATTGCACGTTGTCCCGGCCACTCGCACCGCGCCAACCCCGCGCGATCGTTAAAAGTCCCCGTCCGAAGGCGGACCCCGGGCAATTTCGGACAGGGTATCGCAGGACCGAATCTCGACTCGGCAGCGGAGACGAGCGGTTCCTCCTCCTCCTCCGACGCGGCTCGCGTCGGGTCTCGGGCGAGTCGACTCGAGATTCGGATGTCAATTGGAGTATCAACGCGAGATACCCGATAGCGCGCGTATAGATAACAATGGCCCTGATTAATCCAGGAGCCACTTACCGCGGCTAAATGAGACGGGGCGAGGTGTAATATCAAACCGAGGCATTCGATAGCCGGGGGCGATTGCAGTCGCGCGGCCTGCATCGCGGTGCCGGGAAATAATTGCGTCACCTCGAAAGTGTCGGAGGCTTTGTCGTCGGACGATCTCGGGTTGCCGTTTCGAAAAGTATCCCGCCCGTGGAGTCGGTCGCTCCGCTCGAGCCGACCGCGGAGGGATCCGAACCGTCCTTAATCGCGGCGATAACGGGCCCGTTTGTCGGTATGTTCGCAGAGGGTGGGACGGTTCAGAGCAGAATGACGATGGATGTGAGCAAGTCGGAGAGCAGCAAACACGGCTCGACGCAACAGGAGTGCGCGGGATGCGGAAAGACGATCACGGAAAGGTGAGTCCTTCTCGGAGAGAGACCGGGTTTCGGTCGCGACCGACCGTCTAAAGGCTCGCGCTCCGTTCGAAGGTACCTTCTGAAGGCGTTGGACGTTTTCTGGCACGAGGACTGTCTCAAGTGCGGCTGCTGCGACTGTCGACTGGGCGAGGTGGGCTCCACCCTGTACACCAAGGCGAACCTGATCCTCTGCAAGAGGGACTACCTCAGGCTCTTCGGCAACACCGGATTCTGCGCGGCTTGCAGCAAGACCATCCCGGCCTTCGAGATGGTGATGCGCGCCAGGACGAACGTCTACCATTTGGAGTGCTTCGCCTGTCAGCAGTGCAGCCAGCGGTGAGTCGCGGCCCGGAAGTCGCCGGACGCGCGGCCACTCCGGGGCTGCTTTACGGCCCAGCTGGGAAATCACCCTCTGCCTTCCTCCCCCTGCTCCTCCTCCTGCTCCTCCTCCTGCTCCTCGACCTCTCCCGAGGGGGGCGCAGTTACATAATTATCCGGATACCGCTGACACTTTTGTATCGAATCGCTCGCTCCCGGCGAGATTGCCTCGCCGAGGGCCGGCTCGGGAACTCGCGCGTCTCCCGAGGTTTCCATTTTTCGGGTCGGGAAGGGCCGGGAGCCTTATCTCGAGGCGGAGGGAGGAGGATCCGCGAAGCGGGCGATCGGGACCGTAAAAGGCGCAAACTACGGAGCCGGGAGAGCGCGACAATGCCGGCTTATTGGCCGCCGGGACGGATCGAGGGGTCGCAGCGTCGAGCCAACGGCAATGGCTCGTTCGGGCGTGCAACAAACGTTGTACGGCTTCTCAAACAATGCGAACAAAAGAGCATCAATTTTACGTTTTTATCGTCTCGTATTGTCTATCTTCGACAATGCCCGGTGCGCCTCCTTCCCTCCTCGCGGCGGCACCCCCGGGAGCGGCCGTCCCGCGCCGGCTTCGACCCCGCGGCCCTCCCGCGTCGATTCCGCGCCGCGAGTCGGTGGATTCGCGCCAAAGCAGCGGAGACGGGCGCCCCCGAATCCGGCGGCAACTCGGCCGGCACGTGCCGCGGCTGGGCGTCGGGACGTCGAACGTCCTTCCCGGGGCGCGTCCGCGACCTCGCGTTACTTTCCATCCGTGAGGCGACCCGAGGGTGGAAGTTTGGGGTGCAATTACGCAAGAGAGGCCGGGTAACGCGAGCGGACGACTTAGAACTTGCAATTAAACGACAACAATTACACGGGGGTAACTTTAGACCGTAATAACACGGAATAAAGGGTTGCCAGCGGTGGCTGGTGGCGGCCCCTGCGCCCCTCCTGGCTCGCGTCCCTGGTTAGGGGATGATTTACCGATCCAATTAGCTCCCGGAGCACTCTCCTAAAAAGACGTCCGGTCTAATTTAACGGATGTCCAATTAAAAAGTAAACCCCGCGCGATCGGAACCGGTCTCCAGAACTTTACGCTCTGCCTCCCGTCGTCGTTCCCGATTCGCCGGCCCTTCTTTCCTCTTTCCCCCTTTTCCCTTTTCCCTTATCTCCGCTTTCTCGTCGCGTGCAAACGGGAACGATCTTCGGCCTTGGGAGAGCTCGCGGGGAACCGGCCTCGCCCGGGGAGCGATCGCGAGGACTCGCGAGACCTAGGTCGAATCGGGCCAATCGCGAGGACGTCCCGAGTATGGATTCGGGGAGAAAAGAGGCGAAAAGAGGCGAAAAGGGGGCTCGGCGCGCATTATTCTTTGAAATCCGGCCACGGCCCGGGCCGAGCAGCGACGGCAGTAAAACGGCCCTAATGGCGTCACACGTTCGCACCCGGCGATTTCGCTTATTTATTCAGAGTCCCGACGAGTCCCGTATCGCCTCGGCTCGCCTGTCCGTTTTGTTCGGAGACCCTCGTTAAAGATTCAAACGAGTTATCCGAGCGTGCCCGGATTGAAATTTTCCATGCAGGAGCCGCGCCCTCCCCTAGCTCCGTTCCCCTCTTAATACCCCGTCCTTCCCCGACTTTTTCCCTTCGCTTCCTCTTCCGTCTCTTTCCGGACGGCTCTTTTAATCGTCCAAGAGGTCCGAGGTTTTCCAAGATCGGGCGAGAGGGGGACGAGCCGAGGAATTTTCGGGACGCGTATCACCGGACAGCAGGACCGGCGCGAAAGGATCGGGAACGGCCGGAGAGCGGCCGGAGAGCGGCCTGGCGCGGGCTCCACAATGAACGTACGCGCAATGCGATAATTCTATTTGGCCCGCGATTACGAGTATCTGCTCTCGGCCAGACCGGTCGGTGCTCCCGTATTTCCGGCGAGGATCAAAGCGGATACGCCGCGAGGGCTGCGGACGGAAGGACGATAACCGCCGAGGCTCCCCTCCCCTCCCTGCCCCTCCGTCCGGCGATCTCTTTTCGGAGTCGCTTCCTCTTCTTCCCTTTCCGGCGACGAGGTCCGACCGGACGCTCGGGACTGATCGAGCCTTCGGCACTTTTCTTATCCGTCAGGTTTTGCGTCGGCGACCGGTTCTACCTGTGCGAGAACAAGATCCTGTGCGAGTACGACTACGGCGAGCGACAAGTGTTCGCGAACATGGCGCTGCACCCGCCCGCGTCTCTGGCCCACATCAAGAGGCAGCTGTCGCCTACGCCCACGCCCCCGGGACAGAACGTTCATCCCCTGCAGCAGCACCCTCACCAGCCGCAGACTCTGGGCCAGCACCCCCACGTGACGAACGTGAGTCCCCTTGCCCTCGCGAATCGTCGACGGCGACGGCGACGCCGACTCCCGGATCACTCATTGCGCGCCTTCGACCGTTTCAGGGCCAGATGCCTGGGGGCCCGCCGACGATGAACGGCTCCATCGGAGCGGGGCCCCGGGGCCCGGGGGACATGAACAACAACGGTCTCTCGGGTCCCGGCTTGGCCTCCGTGAAACCTCCTCCGATGTCCATGCCGGCGCCGACCAGCTGAGACGAGGCCCTTCCGCCCCTGAAAAAGCTCAGATGTCTCGACGGATACTAGGGGTCTCCACCGGGAGCGTCGACGACCTCGAAGGGCTCCCGAGCGACGACGGCACGAGGGAACCGTGACTGTGATCGGGTCGAAGCTGCGGATTTTCACCGTTTCTTCTTACCCCCGTCCCTCTCGCGCTTCCTTTCCTCCCCGAAGGCGACTCGCTCGATCGGAGCGGGGTCGATGCGAGAATCAGCGGCTCGGTCTTGCCGATCGGGACCCACAGGTCCGCGGAGACGAGTGGAAGCGCGCCGGGGGATCCGATCCTCTTCGGAGAGGCCGCGCACCTCCCGGGGATCGCGCGTCGAGGATTCTTGTAATATATTTCCTGCAGGCCCGGAGAGGAAGCGAGGCGCGGAAGGTAAGAAGGAGTCGAGAACGATCTGTAAATATCCGAGCTGGATCGTACGTGTAGGGGGGTATTTCCGTTTCGGCCGAACATACGGGCGCTCGCCGTCTCCGGGGCGAAGGACTCGGCGACGAGATCCGTGGAAACGGGCCGTCCCGAGGTTTGCCGACATTCGGATCCAAAGATCGGGTCGCGACGTGGGCCGTCGAAGCGATTTTCGTCCGTTCTTATTCGCTGCTCGCATCGATCTTCGCGGTAAACGGTCTCCTTTTCGCTCGGGCCAGCTTGGATCGAGCGGTCCCTCGGCGGGCAGTCGCCCTTTCCCGGGAATCCCTTGTACAGGATTTCGCGTGGCACTTCTCGGTTCCGTACTTTTGCGTCCGGGAAGCCGCGGATCACCGAAATCGAGTCGCTTCGAAAAGACTTTATCGCTACGTTTCCTTTTCTTTTGCGCGACCGACCTCACCCTCCTCCGGCGGTCGGAACCCGAAACGGAGGACGGAGGAAAGGAACCGGGGTAAATTGGGTTTTCATACAGCTAATACCAAAGATTTTAACGTAAGATAGAACGCCCCTCGCTGACGCGTTTCGGCCGTTTCCCAAGACTTTCCGTTGCCTCGTCGAGGCTGCGAACCTCGATCTCGGCCGACGAAGAATCGGCGAGTCCGACCTCGCGCGGGCCCTGTCGCGGTCGGCCGGGCGTTTCGGCTCCCTTGGTCGCGCGGGGTGGAAACGCATCTCGTCACGCGAGCCGAAACGGTCGGAGAGACCGAGTCCGCGCGCGTTTCGATGGCGGAGGAATCGCTCGTTATCCGTATTTACCTTGTAATCAAGGGAGCGACGTCCGACCCGAAAATGCTTCTTGCGACGAGGGGCTTAGTCATAGCTTTACGAAGGAACCAAAAGCAAGGAAAAGAAGTCTAATCGTGGCCAAAGAGCACGCGCGACCGTGGACGCGTCGAAAAGGGCGCAGAGAGGAGAGGAAGCGGAAGGATCCGACGCGGCGAGGGCAGCGCTTCCCTTTGTCTCGTCTTTCTTCGACCTTCCGACGACGCAAACCATTGTAAATTACGCCGCTGTATGATTAAGTACAAAGCTTATATTGTATAAAAGGTATTATTATTGTTGTCCTTTGGTATTGTATAAGATACTTTTTGTTATTCATCTGTACATACCGTCATTATTAGCATAGTATTAATATATAAATATATATATATATACATATTATATATACATTGCGATCGATAGGGCTCCATTACTACCGAAGAAAAAATACATTCTTATTGATACCGAAGGAGGTAAGCCGGCGCTTCTTTTGCCCCGCCGTCGCCACGTCTTTTGCAGGTCGCCCTCGACCGGCCGCAGAGTTCGCCGAATCGACGGCAATCGCGGCCACGGGATTCGCGCACCGCGCGGCCGCGCCCACCGGACAGAGGTATGCGGAAAATTAAATTGGATTCTCCGTGGTTCGGGGAGACGCGCCGAGACGGGCGGGAAGGGAGAGAAGGCCCCCCTAAAAAATCTCATTAATCATCCCGCGGGGCGCAAAAACCTCCCCTTAAAATAATCTAGACCGAAATGAAATCAGTCCGGGCAATTTCCATCCGAGGGGTGGCCCGCGGCGGACAAATGACGCGGTCCCTCCCCTCCCGCGCTGGAATTAAAGATCACGGATTAGGGTGTCATGCCGCGCCCCTCCGCCGAAGAGTCCCGATTCATCTCGCGGGACTCTCCCGCGGAAAACGGAGAACAAAGTGTTCGCCGCCGGTCGAAGCGGATCGATGGCGGCCGAAAGAGGCCGAATCTTCCGAAAAAGAATTCCTTTCACGGGACGAGGCGTCCCGAAGTAACTCTCCGAGGCAGCGAGCTGTACCGCGTTATGACCCGGACATCCTCCGCGGGCGGAGCGGGGCCACGTCGCGCCGTATTTCAAATTTTATCGCTCGAAAACGCTAAAGGACGCCACTCCGCGACGAAGCGCCGTTTCCTGCGACGCGAGTCCTCGAAGGGCCGAGGTGAGATTCGGAAAAAGCGACGGCGCCCCTGTCCGCCCTGGGGGCGACGGAAGCGACGGAAGCGACTCCCGGGTGTATCTCTCCGCATCGGCATTGAAGTCGGGTCGTTCCGCGCGGCCGGCGGGCGGAGGGCGAGGGTAGATTTTTCCGAGGCTTGATATGATTAATACCCGTGAACCGAGGACCCGCGACAGGGGCGGACAGCGGCAAGGAGGGCTCGGTGTATAGCAAATCCCCGTCAACCGCATTCAATTACGATGTTATCGCGAATACAGATGACGGTTATTTCCTTCGGTACACCCTATACATAACGCGCCGCCGCCACGCGGAAAGTTAAGGCTATAATGGCGGCTGGCCGCCCGTGTGATTGTTTAGGATGTACGGGATGATTCCGGATAAAGGTGTTCCACTCTTTCTCCCCCGGTAGAGGCGATCGAAACGGAGCCGAGGGGGGATTCTCGATTGCCTCCGATCTCTCTCCTCTTCTACTCGAGAACGAGATTTTTGAGAAAGCGCCGCGAACGTGGCGTCACGCGGGCGAATCCGCGAGTTAATCGAGCGAGGGGCGGCGTCCACTTTGTCGGAACGCGCGGCGGAAATTCCGCGTGCCGTTCGATTTTGTCCGCCCTCCCCGTTCCCCCGGGCACCGGCCAGCCGAGAAAAAGGTCGGACGGCAAACCGATATCGGTGATAACGCCGGTATCTCGACGCGTGAATTATAAGCTCGGCGTACGGCCGGACGGAAGAGCGACAGGACTGTCAAACGCAAGCGTTTCGCGAGCGGAATAACGCATTCGCCGTGTCATTGCCAATACGCCCGATATTTTCCCCTGACGGCCCGACGGCCCGACGGCCGATCGGTTACATTTTGCGAGGATCGCGCCGAAACAAGAGGGAGAGTTCGCTTCGTTACGATAACCGGCTGTCGGGGATATTAGCGAATTATACCGAATCCCCGGCGCAAATTCGACCTCCCGGCCCGAGAGTCTCCGTACAACCGGGGCGGGGCATCCAACGAGCGCGAATTCCGAAAAATAATCTCCTCTGGGAGAAGAGGAGAGATCGACGATGGCCCTTGAACGACCAGGAGGTCGCAAACGAAGCGGTCGGGCCAAAGATACGAAAAACGATACGGTCGGCGGCGGGCGCGTACGAGGGCGCCCGTCAGCTGCTCCATTCCAGAAGCTCGTAATACACGGTACGGAATGGCACAAATGGAAATGGGTTCCTTGCGTGGGTATCGCCGCCTCGAAAAGCTCAAACCTAATTATGACGTATCCATGGTAATCCGCGCGTTACGATACGCAAACGATCGCGACCGCGTAAACGGGCCTTTTCGTTCGGGTGCTCGCGTCCGCGTTTACGGCGCGAGGTTGTTCGTTAATGGGGAGATAACGGTCGTGAAGCGACACTCTTCGGTTCCAACGCGGTTTCGTCCCGACGAACGGTCTTTGCCGCGACACTCGGCTCGTCCCTCGGGATTCGGAGAAAAGGATTAAGAGAAAAAGGGGGTCGCGTATCGGAGGGTCGTTCGCGGCAAAGTTCCGCAGGAGGAAGAAAAATTGTCGGCGGAGCCATAGGATGGGAATGGGAGGGAATGGAGAATGAATCGCATTGCTCGATCGAACGATCGCGATCGGTCGTTGAACCAGGCCGTGATTAACTCGAGCGCGAACCCGTGTACTTACGCAAGACTCGGGGTGGATACTTATAGCGGGCTACTTATCAGCCGTCGGGGTCTGCCGGTACGGCCGACAACCCCTTCGTTTTACGTTTTAACCTCCCTTGCACCCGTCACGCGTTTCCATCCCCTCGGTGCATCGTCAAGACTTACCGCTCAGTGGTTAGGAGCAGTTAACCAAGGGTTAAGTCAGGCCCGGCTCGAGGAGATTATCGTCTCGGTCTGGAGATTATCCTACCGCGAGTTTCGAGCCGGCTCTTCGTATAAACTTTCGACCGATTTTTCCGCTCCGCGGGCCGAACTCGACGATATCGCCCGCCAAAGGGGTGGGCTTCCCTTTGACTTTTGCAGTCGATTTCGGCACGCGACCCCCGAGCGATCGGGACGCTTTGTCCGGGGTCACGTGGACGCGATGTAAATTCAAACGGAGCGATAACGGCGGGTCCACGAGACATTAGAGGTAAGTTAGTTGTCTGCAGCCCCGTACCGTACTCACCCCTCGCCTCGGTCGGTAACTACCCTCCTAGAGCTTACCGACGTCCTCCTCCTCCGCCGGGTACGTAGTTCTCGAGTCTCCGGCTAAGAATATCCCCTCTGGGAATGCACGCTAATGTTCTCGCCGATACATACTAATGGCACCCTCGCGCTAACTACCGGGACGCGTTATTTGTAGGCACGCGAACTTCGCCTTTCGCCTTTCGCCTTCGCAACGTCCCGCAAGACCACCGGTGTCTCTTACGACCGCAACGAGAACTAATCGAGCAGTCGCGACCGAGGCCCGTTTTATTTCCAACGGTCCTGCTCCCGCAACCCTTTGCGGCTCGTCGACTCCGTTCTCTCGTTTTCTATTTTCAAGGTGAACCCGATTTTCGAATTCCCGCCGAGAGGCGAGGGACCGTATTCGTTCGAAGTGAAAAGGAGCGACGCGCTCGAAAAATCTGCCGCACTCGAAAACGAAACGATCCCCCCGCGGAATGCCGGAAGGAAAAGGAAACGTTTTTCCATCCGTGCGTCCCGTCCTTCTCGAAGCTGCCGAAGCGATCCCCGAAGGTACTTCCTTTCTTTATAGAGCGAGTGAGAAAGTGGCGGGTATACCTAGGACGTAACGCCATAAAGTGGAAAAGTTAAAGAAATCAGGTGCACGTAGCGCGCGTTAAAATTAACGGCGTAGTAACAAAGTATTGTATGACTCGAACGTAAGGGGCCCGAAGTGCAGGCACAGGGTAGTTTCACCTTCGGGGTAGTTACCGAGGAGAAGTTACGGGCTGCCACGGGCTGTAATCAAATACTTAAAACCGGCTCGCTGCCCTCCATGCGGTCTTTTAAACCCGACAAGGCAGTAAAAACGTTTGTCCTCTTCCAGAGGGTCTTCCTTGCCGTCTTCGCCCTCGTTGGGAGAGTCCCGGCCAACTTCCGATCGCGTCCGGAAGGACCGCGCGAGACGGTTCGATGAATTATTTCTCCGGGAGGTTCGGAGGATTCGAAAATGTGCCACACCGACGCGAGGGCACGTCGGAGGGCGTTTCGTAACCGTAGGAAATAGTCCGAGGTATAATTGCGGCCGCGTCCCGTGCAGGTGAGCGAAGGTTACGGGGAAAACGATATATTCTCGGTCGGCGGTATAATCGCGTCCAGGACGAAACGCGTTACGTATTTAGAACTCGCGACGTTGGGCGATCGGCACGAGGAAGACGGGGAATCGGAAGAGAGACAACGGAACGGGATAAAAAAGCTAAACCGGCTGTTAGGAGGGGTGTTATGCGCCGTAATGCCGGTACTTAGCGGAGGATAAATAAGCGTTAAATCCGTGCTTAGGAGCCTTAATCCGTATTTTTCTCGGGATACCACTAGGAATACATTATCGCGAGGAACTTTATCGTCCGGGATAATGCTTCCGCTCAGACACTCGAAAGAAGCCACTCCCCTTCTCGAGATAATGCGATTCTTCCTCGAGGATTTCGCCGTTTCCGAAGACGTCGTCCTCTCCGTGTTTCGATTACACGGATTATCCTCTCTCCTGCATAAATCGAGCGCGCAATTAACGAGCGAGGCGCCCCAAGGAACGCCAAGGATCTCTCGAGCACCGTCGAGCGAGCCCGCCACTCGCTGGACGCGCCTCGTTCGTCCGCTCGGTCGACCCGAGGTTTGGACCGAGTTCGCTCCCTCGACAACGCGCCTTCGGGACGGGTAGCCTAATCGGAGGTAAACCGTGACCCATCCGAATTAACGTTCGCCGCGGCGTCACCGGTGGGCCATCGGCGCCGTTCCGGTCCGGCAAAGGGCCGTTACGAGACGTGTCTCGGTCAGGCGGCTGGACGCAGAGACGAGGGTAGTTAGGCGTTACGACCGGGCAAGAGGATCGCGGCCCCCCTTCTTTCCGACCCCGAGACGCCTCCGAGGGGGGTCGAGCAAAGTTCGGAATCTCCGACGACGGTGGGCAGCCCGGCGGCGGGCGAGCTAATCCGAGCTAATCTCCGGCCCATACGAATTAATGTTACGAGGTTCGAGAGCCATCAATGGGCCATCGCCGGTGCGCCGTCGGTGCCATTTTGGTCGGGCAAACTACCCTCGCG